ACGGATCTGATCGGTAAAGATCAGGCCAGCTGGGGTCCCTGTTAACAGGCCGGCTAGAGGTGGGCAGATGGGGTTTAGCATTGCAGAACACAGGAGACCGCAGTGAGAATCGGTGGTGTGAGGTGGTGCCATAGGAAATAGTGAGAAGACGAGTTGCGGGGAGAATGGAGATGAAGTCAATGTGCAGGGAGGGCAGCATGGTGGTGTCACGGTAAAACTGCAGCTGTGGCTGTGTGACTGCAGATCACTTTCAGCAAGGGAGTAGGATGGGTCAAGATTGTAGGTGCCATTTGAGTGCAGCATTATTGTGGCTCTTTTTGCCAGCAGGACCTTGCCTGCAGGGTGCAGTGCCATTGAAACTATGAAGAAGGAACAGTTTCTGAGGTGGCAAGTGATGGCAATGACTTTCTGTTGAGATCTAAGCACGGTGGGGCCTCTTGCCCCTACGCAGGCAATGCTGAAAGTGCTGAGGACTGCAAGGGAAAACTCAGTGCCTAATCTGAAAACAAAGCACGGTGCTTTCACAGCTAATAGAGGAAGGCAGATACTGCCCTATTGGTGTAACCTCAGTGCTGAAGTGTTTGAAGATAATAGGCCAATACTGTTCCTATAAAGCCGTAAACAGTGGAATGTCACTACATTTCGGAGCTGCTGTGCTGAGTTGAACTCATTTCCTTGGGGCAAGCTCTGCTCACCTGGACACCTGGCCATTAACAAGCCAGAGGAGGCATTGTCACTCCCTAATCCTGTGCTTGCCAGGAGCATCCCAGCATTTCACAGAGCAGAGAAGGCAACTCCAAAACAAACCCTCCTTTCTAGCAGCCTGGCAATGTTCTGAACACCACCAAAAATTTGGTGTGTATGCAAAATGGACACAACCTTTTCTTTACTTTGTCATAGTTGTAGATGCCAAAAAAGTAGCAAAAAAATCTGAAGCATATCTGAAAGTGTGTCTGAAAGTACACCTGAACACCTTGCTGTCTTGTGGGAGGGAGCTGTGTCTTTGCCATGGAAGTTTGCCTCTTGCTGTAGTTGAACTTTGTATTAAATGTCTGTGTCAGAAGAGGACTCATCTGTGGCTTGTCTGGCAATTGTGTGCTGGGTAATTCCTGGAACCGCTTTTTCCAGCAACAATGCCCTCTTTATTGGACAAACACTTATTCAGTTGCTGTGTGTAGTTAAATGTAAATCTGTTTTATTTACTTACTTCCTTCTGCATCAGAAGAAAAAATCTGGCTAATTTTCCCAAGTCTGTCTTTATTTGCCTGTTCAAAGTCCATCAGAGGAGACAATGCGAATCCAATATTTGGATCAGGGTCACTAGCAAGAAATTGGACAAAGCTTCACTCTAAAGCCCATCCCTTGACAAATAAAAAAATGAGTGTGTGAAAATCAAATTTTACCTGGCTTCTGTTTTTGAACTTTGCAGAGAAGCAGGTACAAGGCTGATATCACAACAAGAAAACAGATTACTGTAGGTATCTCCTGGGCTGGACAGTATTGAGTAAAACAGCTGCACACTATCTGCTGATGAACTTGCAACTTACTGTCTTTTTTGATGCCTAAAATCAAAGGCATTGCACCCCTGATGAAGTGCATTTATTTGGGTGATAATGTTTTTAGTTAAACTTAATTTTATTTTAATGTTTTGCACTGTAATGGAAGGTAATGCAGTGAAGCTTGAATGATTAGTGCAGATCTAGGTAGACCTAGGTACAAGAACCATCGCTCAGTTGTATTATTTTCTTCATCAGAAGCTTGTTCTTATTAACCGCTCTATTTATTTCTTCCCCTCTACCCTCACCATATGTTTTATCCCTTCATTTTAGCTGTTTGTTCTTAGTCTGTGTATAGCTTGCCTATTATACTTGAAATACGATTAAATCTTTCTTCCCCCCCCAGGCTATGTACTCAACCAACCGAGGGACAGTGGGTGGATTCTTCCTGGCTGGACGAAGCATGGTTTGGTGGCCGGTGAGTGCTATATATTGCATGTGTATATAAAATATACACGTGTATGTGCATCCACTTCCATATGACTGTGCCAAGTCCTTATATATGAAGTATCTCTGCAGTACTGTTGAGATTGTGACGGCTATATTATGTAGATACACTTCAAACTCTCTCTAGCCATGGTGATACAGAGCAAATTGCACAACAAAAGCCACCCGATAGGCAGGGAAAAGTGTTGGGGAAATTGTCTGTGTTGAGCTCTGAGCTGGCTTGATTATGTGACCAACTTGTTTCAGCATAGATACGTAGATAACGTCAGTGTAAAAGAGTCCAGCTCTTTGCCTGTCAGCTCACTTTAAAACTTTTTCATATTTTGAGCTATTACTTTCACTCAAAGAAGCTGGCTCATTTTGAATTTCTTCACATAGAAGAATTAATTTACTGACATTTGCCCTGGTATTGCTCTATTGTTTCTACTTTTGGTACTAAGTTCTGGTCTGTGCCAGGAGCAAATCCTGGAAATGTTATAAGTTATTGGTAAAATATAGTTTAATTTTATTTAAAGATTATCTGTGACTTGTATTGTTTGTCTTCTGTGGATCTGTATTCTCTTCCAACGTGGAAGAAAGGAGTCACAGATACAAAACATTCATAGCCACCCAGCAGGCCTCTGGCAGAAATATTGGAAACAATTCTCTATTCTTTCAGGCCATGCAGTCTGTTTAGTGTGACTTCTTGGCAAAGCAGAAACTTAGACAAACCTGCATTTTCTGTACTGCTTGTGTTGTACTTGCTTCCATGTGCTTGAATTGAAATCCTCAACATTCCTGATCTTGCATTCAGTCTCCAAATCTTTTTGCACTTCATTAAGACTTTTGATTCAAGATTCCATCCACATGGATCAGAGAGAGTGTGAGTAAATATTTATTGTCTAAAAATTTAGGAATTTTCTTGAAGTAGGCTGTAGAAATACCTAGACATCTTTCAGTCGTCTTGTGCTTCAGGGAGCTGCTGTCTGCCTTTAGAAGAGATCAGAACTGCCTCTTTAATGACATAAAAAGATTAAAGGCTAATGACAGTAAAAGGTTTCCTCATTTGGTATAGTAAATCTAAGCAAATTCAGATTCCATTGGAAGATTGAGGAAAGAGAAAGTTTCCAATTAAGTTAAATCCTGTAATTCTAGGGGGAGAGAAAAACCCCAAACAGATTACTTTGCTTAACTGTCACTTTAATCAGTGGGCTGTTTTTAACCTTGTGCAATTATGTATGCCTGTCAAGGGTGAATATGAATATCCTTTTGTGCAGATGTAAATGAAGGTGGAAGAAGCAAGGCAGGAAAGACTCACCACAAAAAGCTTCTGTCTTGCTGCAGGGACACTGAGAACTGCTAATGATTCCCTTAAGACCCAAGGAAGATTATCTGACACTGAGTTCTCTGCCAACACAAACCCAACAGACTCAGCAAGCTCCCTTCCTCCAGTGGGAGGACAGAAGGGATGAGCCCATAGTGCAGTGGTTGCTGCTCGGATCATCTCTGCGAGCTCAGCATGGATGAAGCGGTAGTCATCAGTGTAGGCATCAGTAAGACCACCACTTCGACCCTTCCTTTGTAATGGCAGAAGTGTCTTTCTGCACCAGAGAAATAAACCCTTCTTGCTATTCTTCCCGGTATCACTCAAAATAAACAAATGGCAAGAACTCAAACCACAAGCTAAATACTATGTCAGCAGCACCACCTTGGAAAGTTTGCCTTGGATAAAAAGAGATTCCAAAACACCTATTCCCACATTTTAGCAGGTAATAGGATGTCCATCACCCAGTGCAAACTGGGTAGAAATGATCAGGAAACCAATGAAAGTATAGAAAGTTCAGTCAAAGATGTGATCTCAGTTCTGCAACAGCTAATGCTGTGTGTATTATTTTTACTGCTTCTGTGCTCTGACTTTTCTTTTGTGCCATGTCAGGACTAACCTGGCATTGTTCTGGAAAGCCCAGATACATTTCCACAGACTGGAGATGACAGGCAGGGTGGGGGAAGTTGTTTTGTAAGTGGAGTCTTATTTATCAGTTTTCTCCTCTGCCATGTCAGGATAATGACCCTTGGCATGTCACTGTTTTCTGGAACAGAGTAAAATGGAAAAAAAAAATCCTTCCATAAACTTGTTATAAACTCAATTCCCTTAAACCAATAACATTTTTCAGTGTTTGTGCTATGCTCTATGGGGCAGTGTATTAGGATCTCTTACTAGCAAGCCTGGGAAAGGGATTCTCTTCACTTAAATGATAAAAAAGCTGTGCTTTAGTAGACTAGAGAAGACTGGCAATCAAAGCCTGGAGGTTAGTTCCACTTTTGATACAGATTTTGCATGCTTGTCCTTCACCTGATTGTGATTCAATTTCTCATTGTATGCAGTAGGACCAAGACAGTTATCCTGGGCCAGATCTGTCCAGCTTTGGCTCTGATTGTTGGCTCCAGCAGAATCCATGAAGTTTGCTTAGTGTTTTGCAGAATCAAGCCCACAGTTAGTCTTTTCTGGCTGTTCTGCTGAGGTAATAGGTCACTTCAGTGTTAGTTCACTGAAATCCCTACCCTTGTGCAGTGGATGAGCCAACTCAGTAGTTCCAGTAGTTAATTAGGGATCAAGGTATATAATTACATTCTCCCTGATTGCCAGAAGTTGAAATCCATTGTTGGTTAATCATAATGGTATGAAGTGCTGTGCCCTTTCCACCGTCTTTTTACAGAAAATGAGAGAAGAGTCTTCAAGAAGCTGGTTTTGGTATCTTGGGCTTTCAGGAAAGACACATACGGCTCTGTAAATATTCATAACCAACTTTGCTTTTTCCAAAAAGACACAGAAAAGTTTGAGGAAATGGCCAGCTTTGTAACGCTGGGCTTTGCAAACTGAACTTTAGCTTCTTTTGTAAGACAAAGGAGTTGGGTTCAGTCAAATACTTCCTACCATTGTAGGAAATGAAGTATCTGTTCCTGGAGAACAGTCAGCTTTGGAAGCAGCCACTGTCACAGGATTACCGGGGTTTCATGTACAATAATAAAAATAACCAAACTCCTACTTCAATTTCGAAGCTTTTCTGCTTTTGAATTTTGTTCTTCAGGTTCTGTAGTTTTACTGACAGAGCAGTCTGCACAAAATTGTGGGTTACCTTATACACCTCAGTTTCTGAGTTCCATAAATGCTAATAGGACAAAGAGTATCTTGCTGGGCATCTCAAGTCCAGCTGTGGTTCAAAAGATTTACTGAAGAGCAATAAGAAGCATGCAGAGTCAAGGAGATATTGCACTTTGAACAGAAATGTAACTCAGCTCGCTTGTTTTCACTTAAAGCTTTCAATTGAGCTTTGTGAGAGAGTTAAGAATTATAGAAAAAAAACCAAACCACAGCTTTTTGCTTCAGTTCTTCATGGCTTATTTTCATGGCCATCAGAACTAACCACTGGCATGATTTCTCTGATCTCTGCATCCCGTTAAGTCTTACGTATTCTCAGAATTATCCCCACTTGCTGAATCTGACACCACTGTGAGGAGCAAGGAAAGACAACTCTGGTATGAATAAGATTTGTATTTCCTTTTCTTAGGTAAAGTGCAATAAGAAATTAACTTATTTTGTTAAGTTCCATGCAAAAAAATAGTGTGAAAACAGTAGCTTTCAGAACAAAAATATAATAAAATAATGAAAGCAAAGCTCTGGTAGAAAAAGTTCAGTGAAATGGATTTCTGCAGAATTAATCAGAATTTTCCAGTCAGCTGGGAGGTGTTGTCTCTGTCTTGGAGGACAAAGGTGGAAAGCTGACTGTGGTATTTCAACAGTCACTGGGCTTGTCAGAAGACAGAGACATGTTATTTGGTGTGTACTGTATATTTACCTCTATCTCTCAGTGAATTGGGAAGTGTATAAATGTGGTTTAATTTGGCAATAATGCAATATATAGAATTTGCAGAGTAATTGGAAAAGCAGAATAAAAATCTAGACATCTTTCCTTGGGTCTCAGAGCCCTGAGGGTGACAGTGTTATTTCACTGTATGCGGTGTACTGATTTTTCCAAAGTTGCTAACACAGAATCACTCGGTTGGAAAAGACCTCTGAGATCATCACATCCAACCGTTCCTGTCTGCCCCCTAAACCATATCCCTAAGTACCTCGTCTACCCGCTCTTTAAACACATCCAGGGATGGTGACTCCACCACCTCCCTGGGCAGCCTGTTCCAGCCTCTGACGACCCTCTCAGTAAAGAACTTCCTCCTTATCTCTAACCTGAACCTCCCTTGGCACAGCTTGGTGCCGTTTCCCCTTGTTCTATCCCCCATCACCTGGGAGAAGAGCCCAGCACCCACCTCTCTACAACCTCCCTTGAGGCAGTTGTAGGTGGTGATGAGGTCTCCCCTCAGCCTTCTCTTCTCCAGGCTAAACAACCCCAGTTCCCTCAGCCGCTCCTCATAAGGCTTGTTCTCCAGAGCCCTCACCATCCTTGTGATGATGGTGATCCTGAAAACATCAGGTAGGAAAAATTATATCCTTCCATCAGGGTAAAGTCGTATGTCGCAGGGAAGAGTCTTGAGTTAAAGAAAAGCATGGACAGTGTCAAGGAGTAGTTCTCAAACAAGGGAATGAGAAATTTGTCCAGGGAAGAGGGGTTTGAGAAGCAGCTTCTGCAGGGGAAGCATGGGAGGAGGGATACCTCAGGCTAAGGCTTATGACCTCGTGTTGATGTGAGGGAGCCTCTGCTGCTCTCTGTAAAGGGGCTAAAGGCCACAGGCAAGGTGTGCTTGGGGTCGGGGAAAAGAGTTTGATACCGAGCTAACACTTTCAAACAGGAAAGCGGGCATCAGGGGCATAGGATATGCATGAGCAAGTCCTGGGAGGGAGAAAAGCCGTAAGCTATAAAGTCTGCACACTGTCGCTGCAGTGGTCACTGATTTGCAAAGTACATTGTATATGATTTGGAGCAGCAAGTGCCAGGATGTCAGTGCATCCTCAAGTTAATGAAAAGAGCAAGGTGAAATGGTTAATGAATAACATGGAAAAAACATAGTGATCATCATGTGTTTGCAGTGTGGTGGTACTTTTCCTGAACAGAGTACTCTTGTTAAAACCTGACCTCTTAAAAGACTTCAAAAGAGTTAATGTTCCACGTTGGCCTCAGGTTAGTTCAGTTTTTTGTCCTCTCTTTCCC